CCATGCGGCAAAACCGTGCCAGGGTTGCAAATTAGGCTCCGCCCATTTTTCCTCCCAGATGGTTCTTCCCACTTTTTCTTTTCCTCCCAGTTGGTGTGCTCTCGATTTTTGTATTACTGTAGAAGCTTGTTGGTTAACCCCATCAATTTTCCAAAATGTCATAAAACCCACAGAAGCCGAAGAAAGGCACATTCTCAAAAAAATAATTGGAGGTTGAGAGGCCTTGAGGCTTGGTACACTGATCTTAACAACCATGATCTTCTTGACCAAATTCTATCCAATCCCAACCTTACGTTCAAAAAAAAAAATTCTGACCAAAATGTTTGTTTGCTGAAATCTCGTTGCTTTCGTGGTCTACCCCCATCTTCAAAAGGGTTGCACTTTTTTGGAATACGTGCCAACTCGTCGTTCTATGTCATCTTTTTGCTCATTTTGAATGCGTCCTCTTTTAAGGGAATTTTCCGCGACTTGATCCATCGCAACCTGTTAAGCCAAAGTTTTATGTCGTCTTCTTCTCCTCCTTATTATCCGTTCTCGTGTTTCTTCTGAAAGATGGAGAAAAGGAGAGAGGAAGGAACTGAAAAAGTTTGGCACAAGACGCGAGAAGAGACGTCTAGAAAGCGGGCTATTCTAGAATAAGAAGCGGAGAGAAAGTGAGAAAGAGACTTCTCTTCTTCCTCTCATTTCTATTCTTTCCTGTCCCTTTTCCGGGCTCTCTCTCTCTCTCTCATTTCATTTTATTGCTCTTTTTATTATCCAAAATCAAACTGTCGCCTGGAAAACTGAAATCCAAAAACATGCATGTTTTCATGCTCTCAATACGAGATTCCACAAAGTTGGTAAGGCATTTTTTGGAAGTTTGGGTTACGGTAGCCGCCTGTATTCTAGGTTCTAGGGTATTGAATAAAATAAAAGAAAAAAGTATAAAAAAAGGGTTTCAAAATCTTAAAATAGTACTTTTTAACAGTTCTGTTTAGTATTCCTAGTTCCCAGAAGGAAAATGACGAATCTGCCAATAACGAAATAATTAGTTTTCACCTGGTTCTCTGATTTCGTTGTCAACAACAGCAAACAAGAAGCCAGAATTCGAAATATAAGAGCAAATTAACAATTCTATAATCTTCATGTTATATTGAAGCTGATAATGTTAGAAGGATTAACTTCTTTTGCAAATTGATGTTTGGAGAATGTCCTAGAAGATTTCATTCTTTTCAGTCATATATGCGATTCTTCCAGCTCAAACTTCACTCGGATCGTGGAGATGGAAACTCTCCACACGGAATCGCCGATCCCCTTCTCTCGCAACATCTTCTTGAAGGGTATTCTGAGGAAGAGCTCCAGGAGTATCGTCAAGTCTTCAACATGTTTGATGCAGGTCTTTTCTTTTTCTTCTTTTCTTTTCAAAACATCTCAAATTTCACATTTTAGATCGAAGCGGTGCCATTGCAATAGACGAGCTGGAGGCAGCTATCAAGAATTTGGGATTGGAACAAACAAGAGACGAATTGGATAAGATTATCGACGAGGTAAAATTGGATTTTCTAGAATTTGTGTTTTTGTGTCTCGAGAGCCGATCAATGAAAAATATGTCTTTTCAGGTTGACCAACGAGGAAACCACCAAATCGATTTCGACGAGTTCTGTGTGGTTATGAGAAGACTCACCATGAAAAAAAGCAACTGGAATGAGGTCGTCAAGGAGTGTTTCACAGTTTTTGATAGAGTAAGTTAATCAATTGATAGAGTTTTTTGGAGATTCAAATTTAGTCAAAAGTTTTAAGTTTTGAAGTTCCGTTTTTCCTTTGATAGGAGCCCACCCAAATTGCCAACTTTGAGCCCATATACCTCATTTCCAGTAAAAAATAACAAAAAGTGGCCAACTGACAAAATGTTCAAAAATATTCAAAAATATTTTTTCAGTTGCCAAAATTTCAATGTCTCTCATATGAACCTAGATAAATTGGCTCAAATATGAAAGTTAGGAAGTAACGTTTTACTATTAGTAGAGTCTTTACGGGAAATTGAGGTTTTATCTCGAAAAAAATTATTATTCTTCATAAGAAACAGAAAAGTTAATAATATATTTTTCAGTCAGAGAATGGTGGTATCTCGAAGAAAGACTTCCGTTTCATTCTTCGCGAGCTCGGAGACATCACTGACAACCAGATCATCGATGAGATCTTCAATGAGGCCGACGTTGATGGAAACGGAGTCATCGACTACGACGAGTTCACCTACATGGTCAAAAACTACATGACCGACGACGATATCGTTTAAAAATCTGTGTTCTTCTTCATTTTCTTTTTCGTGATTATTTTTTGGACTATTCAATAAATTATATATTTTGGTACAGCTAGAATTCAGAAAACAATTTGATAAGAGGATAAAATCTGGAAGTGGGACCTTTTAAGTTGACCTTCTGATTACAAAGTGAAAGAGCGTATTTGAGAACCTCTGAATCCATTTTCAAGATCTTCTTGAGAAACCTCTAGATCTGAAATTTAAGGTTCAGTATCAAACATCACGTTTTCAGTGCAAAAACAGCGATTTTCGAAGACGACTCTTCCACTTCTAGGAGGTTTCAGAACTGGAAAGTTTTCCAAAAAAAATTAGAGAAAAATTAAATTCCAAATAAGTTTCTGAAACCTTCTAGGAGTGAAGAAAAAACACATTTGAAAATTGGCGATTTTGCACTAAAAAAGGATTTTTTGGTACCGACACTAAAATTTCAGCATTTTGGAAGTTTCTCAAGCAGATCTTGAAAACGGATTGATGGGTTCTTTATAGGTCATGTGAGGAGTCCTTTGCGTGACACGTGTAACGTGGAACTACGCGCACTTTCCTGATGAAAAATTATGACTCGGGTCGCTGTTAACTCCTTCATTTTGGCAACATCTTCTAAGTGAATTCTATTAGATTTGACTAATTAAAAGGTCTTTAAATATCTCATCTGATCGTGAAAAGTTCCATTTCAGATTATGGGACCGTTTCTAGATCTCATGAAAAATGCACTCTGTTCCCCCTCGTCACATTCTTCTTCTTCATCATCTCCAAGTTCCCTGGTCTCATTTGGAAGTCCCAAGTTCTACGTATTGTGTGGAATAGGTGGCTCAATATGTTGTGGATTCACTCATCTTGTAATCACTCCTTTGGATATTGTCAAATGTCGGATGCAAGTGGATCCAATCAAGTATTCAGGAGTCTTGCAAGGATTCCGAGTGGCAGTGGCAGATGATGGAGTTAGAGGTTGACCTAATTATCGTATTCTTTGAATTCAAGAAGTTTAGGATTGGCAAGAGCGTGGGCTCCAACTACAATAGGATATTCAGCTCAAGGATTCGGGAAGTTCGGATACTACGAGATCTTCAAAAATGTCTATGGGAGTATGTTGAGTGAGGAAAATGGGTATACCTATCGCTCATGGGTGTATCTGGCTGCTGCCTCATCAGCAGAATTCTTCGCTGACTTTTTCCTTGCTCCATTTGAAGCCGTCAAAGTAAGAATGCAGACTTCATCCACTGCACCAAAAACCATGCGAGAATGTATGCCGATGATTTACAAAAAAGAAGGAATGTACGGTTTTTTCAAAGGATTACCTCCTCTGTGGACTCGACAGATACCATATACCACTGTGAAGTTTGTATGCTTTGAAAGGGTAATGGAGTTGATGTACACTCATACTGTACCAAAACCAAGATCTGAGTGCACCAAAGCAGAGCAGTTGTTGGTCACTTTTTCAGCTGGTTATTTGGCAGGTATGTGTTTTTTCTCTTGCTGTGTTTAAACAGTGATTACTGTAGGTATCCTTTGTGCTGTGGCATCCCATCCTCCAGATGTTCTTGTCTCCCAACTGAATCAAAATCCAAATGCTACATTGTCAAGTGCTGCAAAGAAATTGGGATGGAAAGGAATGTGGCCGGGGCTTGGTGCACGGATCATTATGATTGGAACGATCACGGCGATGCAATGGTTTATTTATGATGGATGGAAAGTTCTGATGGGTATTCCAAGACCTCCTCCGGCTCAGATGCCTGAATCGATTAGAAGGAAGTTACAAGCAGAGAGCAAGACTGATTTTATTAAATAAAGGCAATTTATTTGATGAATAAAAATATGTACATGTTTCAATATATAATTAGGATGATCCAAGAGATCATCTGGATCTAATCAATCAAAAGTACACGCTCCTCTTTCATATACTCAAATTCCAACTGGATTATTCCGGCGTCCATTGTTGAGTTTGGAAACTAGAAATGAAAAAATAGATTATACAGGAGGATCATCAACATTTGAAATACTCACGCGACCAGCACTTATGTATCTGTCGGGAATTCCGAATTTCACTTTTCGATGTGTCGGCTGGAAACAAAAACACCAATTAAAATTTGTGGATGACGAATTTAAATAGACAAAAAAGTTCAAAACATGTTTACTAGGAAAAAAAAAGATTCTAGAAACTTTTGTCTGGGCTACTGTAACTAACCAATCTCTCATCATTACAATCGTGATAGATTTTGAAAACCGGATCAATTGGTGTAGTTTCTGTAGTCCAGCCAGAAAGATAGAAGCTTCCATTAGCTGTCGAGTAGCCTTGATCCAAAAGGTCGTCTGGATCTGGACCAGAATCTTCATCCCAAAGTTTTATGCGAACATTTGCGGCAGGTTCGGTGCCACACATTAGAATTCCTGAAATAGAGACGAATCGTATTATTTTCGTACAAAAAGATCGAAGCTGTGGAAGAGAAACACCGGTGGTCGTGGCTGGAGGTCTCACAACGAGAATTACCGTAACCTAAAATATGTTTGTTTTCCGTATTTATTTTCTCGTTTTTACTGCTTTTTTACTGCTTTTTGGCAGTTTTTTTTGGTTTTTTTCCTCCAGAAAAAACTCAGTGTGAAAATTTTGGGACAATGAAGGAATTGACTGAAAACGCGCGAAAATCGAGATATTGAATCCGGAAAATATAAACAGTTCTAGGCTACGGTAGTTGTCGTTGTGGGACCTTCGTCCATGCCCACGAGCTTTTTTCTTCCCTAGCTCCGATTTTTTTGTATCAGAATAATAACGTTAAATTCAACTGTTCAACAGTAATCGGAATAAAATAATTGAAAAATCGAAATACTCTAAATTAAAAAAAGGGATAATTTTGAAAGATCCAAATTCCTGGGTTTTAGAGTTGGAGGAACACAAAGAATTCCGAAACACTTCAGTACCTAAAATCTATATCTACAAAAACTTTCAAAAAAAATCTACAACTACAGTATTTGCTTTAATAGAAGTCAACCCAACCCGTTCACTTTCAGTTCAATTATCTCGGTTCCTTCGAAAGATATCAAAATTTTTTCAATTGAGAAAATGTTGGCGATAATATATAGGCGATAGAAGGAGCGATTTTCAAAATTTTCAATTGTCATCCCAAATCACTTCCATTTCCAAAATTTCTGTGAAGTTTCATTAAAATCACC